GCTGCAGGATGCGGTCAGGAGAGGAAGCAGGGCCTCGAGCCCAGTCATTCTGGGGTTTCCAGAGAGCTTCTCATCAGGGCATCAGCAGGGCACTGTCTGGGTCGCTAAGCATGGCCTCCCTCCCGGCTCATCAGCCTGTGCAGCCCAGAGGAGGGGAGGGGACCGGCAGGGGGTAAGGTGAGCCTCTTCCAGGCCAGAGGAGGGGAGGTAGCATGCTGGGGACAGCTGCAGGGGCCAAGAGGGGTGGGCAAGGAGGTTCAGGCAGCAGCTGCTAACTGCCCTGCAGCTGTCAGAAGCTCGATGATGAGGTCCCACTCTGCTCCCCTTTTCCTCACCAGCAAGAACTCACACTTTCCTCCCTTCTACTCCTCTTTCCAGAAAACCCATCTGAGGGAGAAAAACCCTTGCCCCCTTCAGCCAAGTGGGAAGGAGAGAAAACTAATGGCGGCCTAGAGGCCTTTCCCAATTGTCCCTCCAGCCCCTCCCTCCTGAGGTTGAGCAGGTGAAGACACCTGGGAGGTTAAGATGCCCAAGGCTCCCTGCTGCAGCAACACAAATTGCAGCCTGAGGGGTGTGCACACATTTTGCCTGACTCCTTGGAAGTTTGAGTAAAATTGTGAAATCCAATTTTATGGGTCAAGTTGGATTTCCGGCTTTTGTTTTTCAAACAAGCATTTGTGACAACGTTTGCAGAAACTGCCCCCTTAATTCAGAGCCTGAGCCCACACATGGATGCACACTGGCCATTCCAATGACTCTAGAGGAGGCTGAGTCAGGAGGATTGAGAAGTTGAGGCCAGTCTGGGTAACTTAGCAAAACCCTGTCTCAAAAAACAAAACAAAACAAACAAACAAACAAACCAGGCTGAGAGTATGGCTCAGTGGTAGAGTGCCCCTGAGTTCAATCCCCAGTACCACCAAAAATTWAAAAAAGCCTGCATTTTCTAATTTGCCAGGGTCCCATCATGCCCTTTGGTGTTCACCTTCTCTCCCTTCCCCCACACACCAACACTTAGTATTTGTTGCAGTTCTGAAAAAATAAAAAAGATAATGTTCAAGTATCAGAAGTCTTATACCTCACATACTTCATTTCTTTATTTTATCTGTCTGGTCCCTTTGGTATTTGAGGCTTTTCAACCACAAGTGTAGGGCTATGGGAACAGGTGAAATTAGGAAGTTCTAGCTTTATGTCCCACATCAGTTACTTGCTAGTTGTGTGGCTTTAAACCAGTTATTTAGCTCTCTGGGTCCAGTTTCCCTATCTGTAAATGGTGATAATAATAGTGCTACAAATCTCTAACTACAAACTCAGGTTTGCAAAGTATACTATCTTTTCTTTCTTCTTTTATTTATTTTTTATTTTTTTAGTTGTAGATGGACCTTTATTTAATTAATTWATTTATTTTTTGTGTGGTGCTGAGGATCAAACCCAGTGCCTTACACATGCTAGGCAAATGCTCTACCACTGAACTACAGCCCAAGCCCCAATATAGTGTCTTTTCTACTGCTGTCCAATTTCTACTGCTATAACAAAATATCTGAGACTGGGTAATTTAGTAAGAACAGAACTTTATTTCTTACAGTTCTGGAGGCCAGGAAGTCCACGAGCATTGGGCTGGATACTTCACTCTAACATTGCAGAGAACATCAAATGGTGAGATAGAGAAATCAGGCTAGCACAGATCTCTCTTCCTCTTCTTACAAAGCTACTCAGGCCATCATGGAGGCCCCTCCCTCATGATCTCCTCTAATCCAAAGTACCTCCCAAAGGCCCTACCTCCAAATGTATTAATGTGTGCATTAGGAGATTAAGCTTCCAACACAAGAATTTGCGGGGGGTGGGGGTGGGGAACACCTTTAACCTATAGCACAGCACCACATTACACATAGTGGTGAAGCAAACCTGTAATCCCAGCAGTTCAGGAGGCTGAGGCAGGAGGATCATGAGTTCAAAGCCATCCTCAGCATCTTAGCAAGGCCCTAAGAAACTCAGCAAGACCCTGCCTAATATAAAAAAGGGCTGGGGATGCGGCTGAGTGGTTAAGTGCCCCTGGATTCAATCTCTGATATGAAAATAAATAAATAAATAAATACTTTGACTTTTGATCTGAGTCCCAAGCTGCTGAGATGGCAAAAATTCCATTWCTTTCTGCAGAATCATGAAGGCCCAGAGAAGCCCAGAAAGCAGGATGGAGTCTGGTACCTTGGTATCTGGTGGACTGGCAACAGGTAGGGAGGTATCCTGCTTCCTAGATGCTGTGAGATGCAAGAATCTGTCAAGGCAAGCAACCTGGGGCCCCAAGTTCCAACTTGTCGCCTTCTAAGGGTAATGCCACGAGGTGGTGCTTGGGGTCCTTGCTGCTGCGGGCACACATCATTTTCTTTCACTTTCACAGTTTATCTCACCCTCAAAGACCTACATCCCCGCCTCTGCCCATCAGTTCACCTGGCACAGTCTCAGGGGGCTCAGGGCTAGAGCTTCTGCTTCYCATCCAGAGAAAAGGTGTGTGTGGAGGGAACAGATCCTTACTTCACAAAATCCCTCCCTCCCCAGAGTGGTAATAGTGCTCACCTTCAAGGGCGCTTTCCCCTCTGTCCACCCCTTAAGTGTTCCCAGAATGTTCTCCCTTGGTTTTTTCCTCAATCATTTCAAGTCCCAGAGATGCATTTCTCTAGTGGCTCCCAAACATTTTTCTCCAAACTTCCTTGGGAATAAAAGCCTCCAGAAAGGCTGCTCACTGGCCATTACCATTAATAACCTAAAGCAAGTGCACTTTACACTGAACTCTCCTGCCAGAAACCTGSGACTCTCCAGCTCCTCCCTCTTCCTCATCCCCCATGCTTTAGTCAGCCAACCAGAGAGTCAGACCAGGTCTGCCTCCTGGGTAGCTCTTGACTCACCCCTCAATTACCTCCATCCCCCCAATGTGTGGGTTCACCCCTTGCCCCACGGCTTCCCTGTTTCTAAGCCTTCCTTGTGACCACCACTCATACCCAAACTTACTTTGTTTCTTTATTTTTTTGAGTGCTGGTTATTGAACTCAGGTGCATTTGACTACTGAGCCACACCCCCAGCCCTGTTTTGTATTTTATTTAGAGACAGGGTCTCACTGAATTCCTTAGCACCTTGCTTTGGCTGAGGCTGGCTTTGAACTTATGTCGTGATGATCCTCCTGCCTCAGCCTCCTGAGCCACTGGGCCTGACCCAAAGTCACTTTCTAAAGGTGACTCGGTCCAGATTATCTTCTGGATTAATGTTCTTCAGGAGCGTGATGGTTAATGTTATATGCCAACTTGCCTAGACCACAGTATCCAGATATTTGGTCAAACATTCTGGATATTTCAGTGAGAATATTTTATAGATGAGATGAACCTTTGAGGCAATGCATTCTATTAACTGAGCTATATCCCCAACCCCTGAAATGAACCTTTGAATCAGTAGACCATGAGTAAAGCTATTTACCCTCCATATGTGGTGGGTCTTATCTAATCAGTTGAAGGCCTTCATGGAACAAAGACTGACTTCCCTGGAGTTAAAAGAAATCCAACAACAGACTTACTTTGGACTCTTATGATAGCTCAACCCTGGGTCTCCAGCCTGATGGCCTGCCTTGTGAATTCTAGACATGCCAGTTTTCACAATGGCAAAACCTATATTAAAATTTCTCTGCATGCAGGACTGTGACTAGGGAAGCTGAAGCAGGAGTATTGCCAAGTTCAAGGCCAGCCTAGGCAACTTAGTGAGACCCTGCCTTAAAAAAAAAAAAAAAAAATTTTTTTTTTTTTAAAGACCCGGGGATGTAGCAGCTCAGGGCTAAAGTTCAATCACCAGTACCAACACACACACACACACACACACACACACAACAAAACAACAACGACCAAAAAAAAAAAAAAAAAAAACCACATATCGAAAACGAAAAACCCTACCTCTCTGGGCATACATACTACTGGTTTTCCTGACTAGTACAAGTAGCTTCTTTTCAGTTTCAAGATAAATATCTTGACTCCTTAGCCAGCCCCTCTCCTCAAGGATCAATTTAACTCACCTAGTGCCTTTAAAGCATCTAGCTAAGCAGCAGTAGCCAAGAGCAGAAGCAGGTGGATTTCTGCTCTTTGATGCACACCTTGAACAACCACCAGGAGCTCCCCTGCCTCCTGAAGGGCCCCTTCCGGCCTCATCTTTCCTGTCTTGGGTACCCTCTTAATCCAGGGACCTGCTGGGCTCCTTTACCACTGTGCGCTCTCAAGTTTTCTGACATCTTCCTTTGACCAGGCTTTGGGGACTCCCTGCTGGGTCAACCTCCCCTCTACAGTTTCCTGTCCCTACTTCTCTGATACAATCGTTGCGTGACTTAGAGGAAGGAACCTTCCAGTGAAGGAGCTTGAATTTTGGTCCACCATGCTGGACCTTAGTAGGTGCTCAGTAAATGTTAAGTGAAAATGAAAACAGGAAAGAGAGTGAATGAATGGACCGATCCATCGGCTCGCACGGAGCAGTAGGAGGCGCTCCCCAGGAGCGCGCTCCGGCTTCAGCCAGCCGGTCCCCAGCAGGAGGACGGGGCTGGGGCCGCGGGAGGGGACGCGATTCGGTCTCAGCTGGACCCGGACTCCCRCCGCCCCGCAGCAAACTGCGGTGCAGCGAGAAGTGGGAGGGGCGCGGCCCCCTCCTGCCAACCCTTCCTTCTTCCATCCTGGGGTCTCCTGGAATGAAACCTGCCCCCAGCCCGGCCAGAGCGCGCCGATGGAAGGCGGCCCTGGGACCGAGAGGGGAGCCTCCTCCCGCCTGGGCTGCGGGATCTGGCAGCGCCGGGGGTGTCCCGCTTGGCGGGCGTCCGGAGGCGAAAGAAGGGGGACCGCCTCCCCCCTGGAGCTGCTGCTCCCACAGGACACCCACCCCCATCAGCTCCTTCCCACCCCAACACGAGGCCCCGCTCCGACTCTTGGATCAGAACCTCGAGTCCCTTCCTCTATCTTCCCCTCTTTCCTCGGGTCCTTGGTATGCCCCAGGGGACAGATGTCTTGGGATCTTTAACATTTGGGATGCTGCAAATGCCGAAGTTAAATGAAATACCTCCGGGGAGGAGGGAAGTCCGGGGGCAGTCTCGGGGAGTGGGAAGATGGCCCGGACAAACAGGTCCTGAAGCTGCGAGGCGGGCGCGGGGGGCACCGGGGCAGGCGGGAGGCGCCAGAGCTCCAGGGGACAGGTAAGGGGAAAACTTAGGGGGGACCCAGCGCGCGTGAACCAGGGGGATCAAACCACTGAACCACGGTCTTCATCCTTGGCGCAGTCGGGGGGGGGGGGCTTACCGGGAATGCGGTAATTATATCAAGGGGGCGGGAATTCTGAACTCTCAAAAAATGCATATCTGCAAATCCGCAACCTTTCTCCTTCCACCTTCCCCCGGCCTGTGGGTCTCCTGGCCAGGTTCCGGGAAGCCAGACGCAGTCGAACAAAAGGAGCAAAGTCTCAGGCCGGCCTGGAAGTAGAGGGCGCGGTGGGGGAGGGGAGCGGGGTGGACAGGACAAAGGGGCTTTTTACTGGAAGCCTAGAGGTCTGGTTTCAGGGCTCATTCCTGCTACCCCGGAGTTCCCCCGTCCCAGCCCACTCACTCCACCATTGCCCGGTGGAGGCGAACACCTTTCCCAGTGGGCAGGGAGGAGAGTGGAGAAAGAAAACACCTCTCCCATTTCTTGCCTGGAGGGTTCTGGGCTATTTCCCTTCCTCTTTTTTCCACTGTTAGCTCTAGTATCTGATCATGGACTTGTTAATTCATTTAGCAAAAATTCAGAAGTGTTTGTGACTGTACTTGTCCCGGTGCTGTTGGGGGTGTGGAGTTGGTAGGATGGTTTGAAAAATTTTGGATCCTAGCATATCCCAATAAACTTCATACAAGGAACTTTGAAAAGACATGACAGAGCTGTGGGGCTACAGAGTTGTGGATATTTCTGACTCAGGACTGATTTTTTTTTTTTTTTAAGCAAATGAAATCCTAAAGCAGTTTTTCTCAACCTGAGGGAGGGCTCTTGTCCACCGAGGCCAGATTCCAAGAACTATAACACCATGCAAGGAAACCCCACTTCCTCACCTGCTGGTGATCTTGGTGATGGTGCCCTGCGATTTGAGGCTACAGCGTCAGTTCCTGACTCCTAGTCTGGCCCAAGTGGGGTTCTGGGTTCCAAATTCCAAGCTGGAGTGCCCACATTACCCCTGGTGTTTTGAGTTGTTTGTCATGGCAATCAGCCCCTTCCCAGGTTCTTGGTGGCATGATGGGTTTGCCAGGCTCATTCCAAACCCTAGATTCTGTTGGGTTGGAAAATGCTGGGTGTAAGTTTTGGGGTAGCAAGGTTTCTTCTAGAATTTCCAAGGTTCAATGCAAACCTGTCAGTCTGTACTTTTGATACTGAGTAAGGGCTTGCTGTCCAACACACGTAGCTGACAATTCTATGACAGCAGAGTTTTGTAAAATAAAAAGCTTCATTTCATGGCCCACCAGCAAGGAGGCCAGGAACTGTAAGTTCAAATCTGCATTCCTGATCAACTGGTAGTGGGGGGATTTATAGGAAGGGAGAAGGAGATGTTTCTTGCTGATTGGAAGGCACGCCTCTTTTGGGGGGGGGTAATTATGTCCTGTTCAGAGGATTTTGAGCTGGTGACATCATTGACCAGAGGACTTGTCTTCTGCTCACGTCCATTCTTTGAAAACTGGTTCCAAATCATAAGAATCATTTGCGAAATTCCTGAAGGTTTTCCCTGGAAGACAAGTTAAGGATTCACGTCTGGGTGTGCACAGGCCTTAGCTGAATTCTCTTCCCTGAACTCAGTGAGCAACCTGAGGGCACCAAGACATCTTTGGAGAGAACGCAGAGGATTGCAAACGCAACCCATTGCCATTAACAGGATTCCCCATTCCATATCACATCGCAGCTTCTGCGGCTATCCTGGAAGGCTGTTGACACTGTCAATAGGAAAGTGCATGAAATTATCCACTGCTGGATATTTAATGTTAATAAAGAAGCATGAATGTTGTTATGGTTTTCTGATTTTAGAACTGTATCTCAATATAATTGGTTCTCTTAGTGATTCTCTTAATTTTACTTTATGCATTAAAAATTTTGAGCTATGAGATGATTCTAGAAACTTCCACCATCCTCCTCACTTGGATCTGGGGAGATGGACAAGGCAGAAGAAGGGCTGCTTATGCCCAGAGTCAACCCTTTTTTGTTTGACACTGGAAGAAAGTACAAACCTGTAGGGGGCTGGGGAGCCACTGCCGCTTTGTGGAGGGCTGAGGGAGGGAAGGGCTAAAGGTTCTTTGGGAGGCCCAGAGAGCGTGCATCCCACCCTGGAGAGGGACTGTCCCCTGTGAGGGCCTCTTAGCCTTTTAGAGGAGGAGGTGGTCAGCCTGGAGGACTCTGGGGCTAGTGTTGTTTGGAAAGAGGGTGTGTACAGGAATGAGAAAGAGTGGGGGCGTGCCGGGGAAGGGGAAGGGGAGGTGGCAGACTCTGTGGCAGAGTTTGCTTCACAGGAGATGCTTGATGAGAGCATCGGGTCATTCCTGCACTGGGGGTTGGGGGCAGTGGGTGGGGGTGTCGGAGACAGGGGTGCTTCGGGGTGTGGGAGGAGAGAGATCTAGACAGGTGTTAAGGTGCTGGGATCTTCCAACTGCATGGTGGAAGGATCTGGGGGCTGAGGGAGGGRAGGTAATGGGATGAAGACTCAGGGTACAGCCCTAGACTATAGCATATCTCCACCTGCAAGGGTCAGCCKAGGCCTCCTTCCCCCTTTAAAACAGGCTGGATTCCAAATAGATTGCCATTTGTTTGAGAGTCAATAAAATGGGAGTCCTAGAGGCTTATTATTTTGTACAGAACAGTTCCACTTTTGTCCCTTGCATTTGAGGAGTGCACTAAAGGTTTGGGGTGGTGAAGGTCTCACTGTGTTGCTTAGGTTGGCCTCAAACTCCTGGGCTCAAGTGATCCTCCTGCCTCAGCCTCCCAAATGCTGGGCCCACAGGCACACACCATGGCCCCCAGCTTCAGCCTGAGGTTTTAAAATCCTAATTTGGGGGGCTGGGGATGTGGCTCAAGCGGTAGCGCGCTCGCCTGGCATGCGTGCGACCCGGGTTCGATCCTCAGTACCACATACCAACAAAGATGTTGTGTCCGCTGAGAACTAAAAAATAAATAAAAATTCTCTCTCTCTCTCTCTCTCCTCTCTCACTCTCTCTTTAAAAAAATAAAATAAAATAAAATGCATTTCAAAATATTTCAGACCTTTAAAAAAAAAAAATCCTAATTTGGAAGAGCCAACACTCAGGATAGGATCTCCATTTCTGTTTACGGGGAACAGCAATGACCTTCCTTGTCGGTTTGTAAATTTCTTGCTGGTATTAGCCACAGACAGTGAACTTTTTACCCTGTTTTCAGGGGCTTAACATTCCTTGATTTCTGGAAAGAGAAACTGCCACACAAAGAAAGCAGGGAGATCCAGGCAGGTCAGGAGGGCGCTGAGGCGTCCCACAGCTCAGCACATCGCACCTCGGCCCTGTGGCCATGAAGTCGGGACCCCTGTTCCTTCTGGATTCCTCGTGGAGAGAGCCCCGTGTCCCTGCTCCCCTCTGGCCCCGGAAGTGCAGAGGCCCAGGAGCGGCCTGCCTGCTGGCAACAGTCAGCAGCAGGATTAGTTCAGGGAAGGACTTGCTCACCTGCTCCTCCCCTCTGACTCAAGTCCTGACAAGCAACCTGGCTCCCCTGGCCCAGCAGCCTGGGAGGGACGGCGGGAGGGACAGTCAGCCAGGGCCAGCCAGCCGCCTGTGGAGAACTGGAGCCGGTCAGAGAGAGAGAGAGCACAGAGTGGCTGACCTGTGGCCTGGGAGCCCCCGAGGTGACATGTGAGGCCCCATGCCCCCCTGACCTGGGAGCAGGGGGTCTTTCCGGAACTCTTGGACTAAAGCCCTGAAGCAGGTGAGGGTAGGGCAGGGTAGAGCGGGAGATGAGGGAGCTCAGGTAATGGCCACCCTGTCCAACCCCYCAGCTCCTCTCTGGGGCCCAGGGATAATAGGGAGCTGTCGGTGAGCTTGGACAGGGAGCCTGTCCCTGTGGCCTGGACTTAATTYTCACCAGAGAAAAGGCAAGCAGAGATGAGCTGGAACAGAGACGTCCAGGATCTGGCTTTGGGGGCACATTTGTGATTGGGGGGATCCTCAATGGCTTGCCTGGGAGGAAGTGCTGTAGAGTTTCCCTTTCTCTCCTTGCACCCCTTCTTTCCTCCTCTGCCTTTTTCTGAGGACGCTGGTCAGGTGGAATGCTTCTCAGGGCCCAGCTCGAGGGCTGGGCCAGAGGGTCGGGAGGGCCTGGAGGGCTTGGAGGGATTCCTGTGTTGGGGAGGGGGTGTCACCTGAACCACCTTTATCTCTAGCAAAGACACCTTAGACTCCCGCCTCCGGGTGGGGGTGGGGCCTGAGCCTGCTCCTGTGGAGTCTGGGAYGGGTTCCTCACAGCTGCCAGTGCAGGGGTGGGGTCCGCTCCCTGGTTTCCTGGGTACATAGACTGTCTAAGAGGACAAATCCATCTCCAGGGAGCCAGGAAGGGCTTCAGGCCCTGTCTCCTCTTCCTTGTGCATCTGAGGAAAGGTGGCTCAGCAGGGCCAGGTGACTCCCCAGGTGACACGGGCACAGCCGACCCGGAACCCAGGCTTTGGTGCTATCTGTGGAGCAGCAGGTTAGCACCCAGAGTTGACCCAGCCTTAGATGGGGACCACCAAGTGTGTCAGTGCCTCCCCCTTGACCCGGGCAGTGAGGGACTGGGCTGGCCCCTGGAGAGGGATGGAGGACGGAGGAGACTTGCTGAGGCACCTTCCCCCCACAGTCCCTGGAAGTCCCCACTCTGAGAAGCAGGGGCTGAGTCCTCCCAACTTTCCAAGGCAACTCCTTAGTGGTTAATAATTAATTGTAAGTGTGACTAATTAATGGCTTCCCCTCCCACATGACCTCCTCTCTTTGTCCAAAAAGGCTCCAGGTGCCAGCTGAGACTGCTCTCAGCTTCCTAGCTCCTCCTGGGGCCTGCAGGCTGAGGGTCCCTTCCCCTTTAGGGTTGCTGRGAAGGTAAGAGGATGCCTCACTCTGGAGGAGGGCTGAGCTTCCTGCTCCTTTGTCCTGGGAGGGATGGACAGTACAGAGCTAACAGTCACCCTAAGTTCCTGGGTACCCAGAATATATGGCCAGTCTCTTTCTTTGATATGTTTGTAAAGGCCCCACATAATCTTTTTTTTTTTTTTTTCTATCATACATTCTCTAGACTTTCTTGGAAAATTGAAATTCCAAAGTGCAAGGTACACATTGTTTTCAGGGTTCTGGTTTTAATTGTTGSTGCTCATGGCACACTGATAAGCGGTGTTGTTTGCACAGGTCTATAAACATAGGTCCATTGTTCCTGCTCTTTCTGTCTCTGGATAGGCAGAGATTCAGCAGTCCCCTTGGCTTGCTGTGTGGTCAGCTCTCCCAAGGCCTCTTTCTGTCCTGCCGGCTCCCCCAGTTGGGGGAAGGGGAGCTCACCTCCTTCCCTGTGCTCTCAAGAGGCTGGCAGGATAAGTTCCCGACAGAAACTCGGAAGGACTTTTGGACTCTTGCTCAACGGGCTGACTCAGTGAGGAGGTGGCCCGCCTCTCCTTCCAGATCCTGCCTGGGCTCCGCCCTCCCTCCCCACCCCTGCTCCAGCCAGCAGCTGGCAGACTCTGGCCAGATGGGACCTGGAGTAGGGGGTGTGGATTTGGTGAGGGCACAGGTGATGACTGGTGCCCCGCTGGGTGACATAAGACTGGGATTGCACTCCTACCACTCAAGTACTGTTGAGCTGCCCCTGGCCCCCAGAGGGTAGAGGAGCAGGTGGCCTTCCTGGGCTTGGGTAGCTTCCTCTCTGTCACTGCCCCCCACCCCAGGTCCTGACAATTCATGCCTCCCCTGGCTGTGGGTTGTAGGGCACCTGGGCTGACTCCCCTTAAGAAATCTCCTAGGTGGAGTTGGTGGCTCAGGAGTCATGTCAGGGCTTTGGACAGCTCTCTCATAGAGTAGCTGTACCTGCTTACAAACAGACCTGGGTGACCTGGGCTTTGGGGCCCCCAGACCAGCTTTGGCCAGGTGTCCAGTATCCAACTACTTCCTGAAGTGCCCTCACCCACTGGGGCAGTGAGTGAGACATGCCTTMTGCCTCCCAGGTTCTTGGGCTGAGGACAGCAATGCCCATGAAGATATCGACTCCCCTTCTCCTTTCCTTCCTCTTTACTTTGTCAACCCATCCCATCTTCCTTGTGCCCTCCATTTTATCATGTCTCTGGAAAGAGGCCCAATGGGGAGCAAGGCTGACCTCCAGAGAGCCTTCAGTGTGCCCCGACCTGATCACTTCTGTCTTCAAGCATCTATTCCTGAGCTCTTTTTGGAACCAAAGGGATTTATTTAGGGCTTTTTTTGGTTATTGTTCTCTTTTCTCTTAAAAGCTGGGGGAATTCCAGGCTACCTACACATCCTGTCCCAGGCCAAGACTGGTGTTGCTCCTCCCTCCTCTGTGCCCCCTCCTCCCAGAAATCCACCATGGAGAGTAAGGATGAGGTCAGCGACACTGATAGTGGCATCATCCTGCAGTCTGGTGAGTGTATCGGGGAAATCCCACTGCCCTGGTCCCCCAGCCCTGAGTCCTGAGTCCCCAGGTCCAGGGGCTGGCCAGGCTGAGGAGGCTGGGAGGGAGGGGACAGAGGGATGGAGCCTCAGGGACACTTGAAATTTTCTTCCCTAAAAGGGATTTGGCCTCAAGTTTCAGTCCTATCTGGAATAGGGAACTGCAGTGTTCAACTTTAGCTCCAATGATTACTAAATTGGTGGCGCACGCCTGTAACCCCAGAGGCTAGGGATGCTGAGGCAGGAGGATCGTGAGTTCAAAGCCAGCCCCAGCAACTTAGTGAGTCCCTAAGCGACTCAGCGAGACCCTGTCTCTAAATAAAATTTAAAAAGGGGCTGGGGATGTGGCTCAGTGGTTAAACGTCCTGGGTTCAATCCCTGGTACCCCCCAAAAAAAGAGGTTGGAAAATTGTATCTGGCCAGTATTAAGGCCCTGTCTCTCTGCTTGGCCTGAGTCTGTCATGGGGCCTAGTCTTGACAGAGGACAGGAGAGGCATGTGTGTGTGTGTGTGCATGGGGTCTGAGGGAGAAAGGGGAAGAGGTGAGGCAGTCTGACCTGCAGCCCTTCCCCCACTGCAGGTCACCTGGTAAGACAGCCCTTCCCTCTGATCTGTAACGTTGTCACTCTGGACAGCCAAGGAAACGTGGTGTTTTGTGGTTATGACACAGGCCACAGCAGCTAGCCTGTAATTTGTGGGCAGGCATGAGTCTGTRTGTGTGTGTGTATGGGTGTGTGCTCCCCCAGGGGTGGTCAGCTGGTGTTCCACAAAGGCTTTCCTGAGCGCTTTAGTTTCCCTGATGGTGTCCCTTGCTTCTGCAGGCCCAGACAGCCCGGTCTCCCCAATGAAGGAGCTGACCCATGCCATGCGCAAGCAGCAGAGGGCCCTGGAGGCGCGGCTGGAGGCCTGCCTGGAGGAGCTGCGGAGGCTCTGCCTTCGGGAGGCGGTGGGTAGCAGTCRGTGCCCCGGCCCCATCCCCCGGATTTAAGTTAATCTGAGGGGCTCTGGAGTCACATTTTGGGATACTGGAGATGACTCGGGGGATCCCATTCTTAAGGGAATTCTAGAAATCTAGACAAGAGTCTGGGCCCAGAGTCCCTCTGATATGGCATTTGATCTGGACCCAGGGTAGAGGATGGCAGGGGCCCAGGCACAGGGAAGGTGGGGCATGAGGGGCTACAGACGGGGGAGGAGATGGGAGTGTCTCTGAGAACTGGAAAGGGGGTCCGTGCAGCCCTCTGGAGGAAGGRATCAGAGATGTGAAGGAAAAGGGGAAGAGTGTGGGACATCCTAAAGATGGGAAGACAGCCCCGGGGGACGATGGGATAGGTGAGTGGTGGGCAGAGGCCCCAGTGGCCCAGTCATCCCAGGAGCCTCTGGAAGGGGAGGCCCAGGCCCAGGCTGGTGGACAGGCTGTGAGTGGTTGGCCAAGGACTGGGCGAGTGGAGAGGGACCAGGCTTGACTTTGTTCTCCCCCAGGAGCTGACAGGCACCTTGCCAGCAGAATATCCCCTCAAACCTGGGGAAAAGGCCCCCAAGGTGCGCCGCAGGATTGGAGCAGCCTACAAGCTGGATGAGCGGGCCTTGCACCGAGAGGTGAGGACTGCAGAAACCTCACTCTTTGTCATTCCCCGAAGGCTGACCACAGAGAGACAGGGATCACCCTCCTCCGCCCCTTTGCAGCCCGTGAGGGTGCTTGTCTTGGTGTGGTTGAGAGGTACTCTCTCCTGGGTGACCCAGATCGCCAGGGAGAAGCATGTCACCTCAGGAGCTGGAGAGCTGGAAACTCGAGGGAGGACACTGGGTCTGGCCCCAGAGTGGGCAGAGGATCAGTTAAGAGAAGCAGCTGCCTGCTCAGACAGGTTGCTCTGGCCCCTAGGGCTGTCCTCTGTCTCAGTTTAGGAGAAAGGAGGTGGGGGTGACTCGGGCCTTGGGTGTCCTCCCCGTGGTGAGAATGGCATGGTTTCCCATGGGCTGGCCTGCCCAACCCTTTGGGCTCAGGAGGGAAAGTGTCCCTCTTGGGTTCCCACTCAGCCAGGCTTGGCAGGGGCAGGCTGGGGTGGGTGCCTACGCCAACCTCTCATATTGTCGTGTTGGCTCTGGGCACCTGCCACCGCTCCACCCTCTGCTCTGCATCTTTGAATGATGTTATCTGCTTCCACTGCATGCTCTGGGATTAGGGACAGGACCCAGGCGGCTGGGTTGCACTGCTATGGCCTCCTGAGCCCCTGCCTCTTGCCCTGTCCCTCAGGACCCCCTGAGCAGCCTAGAGCGCCAGCTGGCCCTGCAACTGCAGATCACCGAGGCAGCGCGGCGGCTGTGCCTGGAGGAGAACCTCAGCAGGCAGGCCCGCCGGCAGCGGAARCACATGGCCCTGCAGGAGGAGAAGAAGCTGCGGGAGCTCCAGCACCACCTGGGCGAGAGGCGCAACAGCCAGCCCGCTCCTGCCAGTGTTCCCCCGCTGGGCMGAGGTGAGCCCCTGCCTGGAGAGGCCTCCGCCACACTCGCCCTACACAGCCTATGTGGGTGGTGGGCACTGTGGCTCGGTGCCACTGGGTTTGCAGTTGGTTTGTACCTCTCCAGGCCTGGCACTAYGTTTAATGCTCAACATCAGCTCCAGCTGGGCAGAGCTGCTTCCTGGGTCCACCTTGACCCCATATTTACCCTCCTGTAGTCCCAACAAACTTTATCCATCCTGGAAGACTCTTCTCGATCTCCTTAGAAACACCCTACTTCCTCCTCTGCCAAATACACCACCTCTGAGAAGACTACCTTGGGTTGACCCTGAACTTAATCCAAGAGTTTATTCAACTAGAGTATTCTAGGCCCACACACCCTTGGCTTGTCTGGGTGTGTTGAGCTCCAGGTTCTGAGTAGATCTGCTTTCCCCAGCTTGAGTCAGGCAGCACAAGGACTGACCCCATTGGGTGTCACTTATCACTGGATTGTTTCAGGCCATTGCCACTCACGAGACATTTGTGCTGAAATCGAGCCCCACTGTACCCCCTCACAGTCCTGTCGGTAGCAGCAACAGCTCTGGCCACGAGTAGAATCCTTGCACCTCCATTCTCTGCCTAATTGTGCCTGTAGTTTAGTTCCTGAGCCCCTGGTCCTCAGAGCTGGGTGGCTGTGGGGTACCTCGTGAACTGTCAGTGCCAGGAGCCATCCGCGTGACTTCAGTGTGTCCGGTCTGGCTTAGCTTCCAATAGGTGGTTTTGAGTCCTGAGGTGTGACTGTTTTTCTTTGCCCTGACCCATATCCAGCTTGTCAGGTCAGGACTCGCAGCCCTCCGTTCCTCCATTCCAGTCCCCACGGCATCATGCCCATGGCTCAGCCCCGCCCCCGGGTCCCTCGCTGGGCTCCAGACCTCCCTGGCTGCATCAGAGGAGAGTGGAGCAGAGAGCGGACAGTGGCTGCAGGGCAGAGTTGGATCGGGACCTGAGGCTTGGCTTAGAGAGTGGCTGCTTCCCTCTCATTCTCAGGCTCCTATCTCTGCACATCGGCTTGGCTCTTTGCCACAGCTCTTCTCCTCCCTTGGCTGGGACACTTGGATGGAAGCCTGCACCAAGCCTACTTGGTTTTTTGCCCCATGCCCATGCCACAGGCAGGCAGTTATCTCAGTACCTGCTCCCAGTGTGGCCTCTAATTTAGGGTAGGCAGTGTGTGATGGGCACTAGCCATGTCACTTCTGGTAACCAGGAGTAGATGGCAAAGAAGGAGGTCATAGCTTGCATGTTGATAGTTGACTAATCAACCCAGGAGACTATTGGGCTGACAGGGCCTGGTGGCCAGACCTCTTTCTGATTCAACTGGCTCTGGCTTGGCTGCAGGACAGTATTCCAGTCTCCAAGGCTTTAAGGGAAAAGAAGTTTTCCATTCCTTCTCCACTCCCTTGGGGTCCTCAGGAATGGAATGGATCTTCCGTGAAAGTTAGCTGCTAAACTGGGCTGGGAAGTCCCTAAAGACCAACTCTRTGCTTGTAGGGAGCCATGTTGGGGAGATGCCTCCAGTCCTAGTGGAACACCTCCTCCTGTTCCCCTCTCAGCCACAACTGCTCAGCAGCCCTTCTTACGAGTTCTGCAGTTGCTGAGAGCTTCTGCCCAGCACTGGGTTGGCAGTGGGGTGTCACTCTGCTGCCACTGTTGCAACTGATGATGCTCCTTGTAGGGAATGAAGAGCAGGCCAGGGTCCACCAGGGGCTCTGGTTAACCCTTTGTGGGACGCAGAAGCCAGGATTCTGAAACCTTTCCAGGACCTCAGTCAAGGAGAGGATGTGCAGAGGATGTGGCTGATACAGCTGTGCAGAGGATGTGGCTGATACAGCTGTTGACTCGCCCCGTGTGACTCAGAGACCCTATCTCCAACTTCAGGCCTTTTCCCCATGTGGGTCTGGAGTCCTGGTTTCTAATGCCCTGCCGTGGGAGCTCAGAAGGAGGCCATTCTAGACAAGTAATTCCTGTTCTGTGGCTCGTCTGCCCAGCCGTGCTCACCTAGAAAGAAGGAAAGGAAGGATTAATAGTAGTTAAAAAGTATTTTGAATTAAAAGGGAAAATATGCAAAAAAATTGAAAGAAAGCCCCCTAACACACTCACCCCTTTGGTATTCATGCAAGTGTTATTCAATTTGAAAAGTGTGCCAGGTGAGAGTAATTAGCCAGTACTCTGCAAGTGGCAGGGAGCAGTCAGGTGTTGAACTAATTTACTATGGTGAACCTGATGGGAACCACCCCCAGCACACGCCTCTGTAATGAAATAGGTGCTCAGTATGCATTTGCTGATTGACAGTACCCGTCTTTAGCAATACCCTCTATAGGATTTTTGCATCAATGAAAGTGTTCCTTATCTGTGCTGTTGAACATGGTAGTGACAAGTCACATGTGGCTATTGAGCATTTAACTCTGGTCTGTGTGACCGAAGAACTGATTACTTATCTATTTACTTATATTTGGTGCTGGGCATTGAACCCAGGGGCACTCAACCATACGCTTTATCCCCCAGCCCTTTTTATTTTAAGATCGGGTCTTGCTAAATTAACAAAGCTGGCTTTGAACTTTGATCCTCCTACCTCAGATTCCCGGGTTGCTGGGATTACAGGTGTGCATCACTCCAATTGGCTGAATTTTTACTTCTATTTAATTTTAGTGAGTGTAGCCTCATGCGGCTGGTGATGGCCATGTTGAACAGTGCAGCTTTGGGAGTGCTCAGAGTTTGTAAGAATGGTCTTCCTGGTTTCCTGTCCACCTGGGGTGTGCTGCTGTAGGGAAGGTCAAGCTGGATGGAGGGCAGGACAAAGTTGAGCCAAGACTGGGTGGGGAACGGGGCTGAGATGGTGAGCAGCCCTGAGGAAGCACTTGTTTGTCAGATCGATGCCTTCCCAGCCCCCATGTCTCAGCTCCCCTCTTTGCATAGTATCTTTTGACTATAAAACCAATCTGCTTGATTATATGAAGATTAGGGGTGCTGGGGAATGTCGGTTCTTTTTCCTTGGACCATGTATTCTAACCACAACACAGGACTTGATTGTGGGTTGGGCTGCTTGGCCACTACAGTAAGAGTTCCATCATTCCTTCAACTTGACATTTGTAAAAAATACGTCTTTATTCTCCAAGTTTTTGTAAAAACACAGAGGCAGGGAACCAGAATTCAACAAAAAGCTGTCTCAGCTGAACTCCAAAGCAAAGTCTAGCTATGAACCAAGCAAAATGCTGGCTGAATACTGTGGGGGCCGGTCCAGCTCCTTGCACCGTACAGTCTGCAGAATTTAAGAACTGCTCTGGGTAGTTTGTATTTTGTTTTAGTTATAGATCACATATTGGCAAATTTTTTTTTTCATAAAGGGTCAGATTGTAAATATTTTAAACTCTGTGGGCCATGTGGTCAATTAACCCAACTATTCTACTGTGCCATGTTAATGCCAAAAAAAAGTAAACAAATGTGTATATGCATTCCAATAAAACTTTATTTGTAAAAACAGCCAGTGGACTAGATTTGGAGTGTGAGCTGTAGGTGTTGGCCAACTCCTTTTATAAAGGAGTTCAAAATGGTTGGCCCTGTTTACGTTTCTTAGAACTTTCTGGTAATGGCCCATGTATTAGATGCTAGCTAATAGGAGAGCCAAGAGAGGGTGGTAGTTAATAGGATAGACTGTAGTCAACTGGGTGTGAATTCTGACTCAACCATCTTTTGGTGGATTGAACTGCACCACATTACTCCTCCAAGACCCGGTTTCCTCAACTGTTACATGGAAATAATAATAGCTACCTTATGTTTTTTTTAATGAGGATTGAATGAAATATTTATATATTTGCATATATATATATATATATATATATACATACATACATACATACATACATATATATATTTCTTAGAAAAGTATTGGAACAGTAGAAACATTAGTCATTCATCATTTTTCCTTGTTAAACACAATTGAAAATGTTTTGTGAGTTCTATCCAGGTCACAGTCTCTCAAGTTCTCAAAGCTTACATTTGTTTGGTGCAATGGCAAAAATAAATTCCCTCTGATTTCCTGAGTAATGCCACACTCCATTTCCTCTAGGAAATTTCTGCCATATCACCAATTGAAGAACCTTCCTCAGGGCTCGCCAGACCCCAACTTAAACTGGCCTCGCAGTCCCACAGTTCAGATTCCCACTTGGTTCTTCTCTTCTGCTGGTAATGCAGGAGATCTTAGATTTGGGATCTTGGAGTTGAGTTATATTTGTGATGTTAAAAAACTATAGAGGCCAGGCTTGGTGGCACATGCCTGTAATCCCAGCAGTCTGGGAGGCTGAGACAGGAGGATCTTGAGTTCAAAGCCAGCCTCAGTATCAGCGAGGCGCTAAGCAACTCAGTGAGACCCTGTCTTTAAATAAAATACAAAATAGGGCTGGGAATGTGGCTCAGTGGTTGAGTGCCTTTGAGTTCAATCTCTAGTACCCCTACTCAAAAAAAAAAAAAAAAAAAAGGCTATAGAAAAGTTGGCAAAATTCTTTTCATCCCAAAAGCCTTCCAAAACAGCCATTTCCCTTCCATTGCCAGGAAGTCATAGCTTTTGTAAAAAAAAAAAAATTTTAAACAGATGGGGAAACTGAGATCCAGAGCACTGAAATGGCTTATTCAAGTTGTATAGTTAATGACAGCCAGGATTAAAATCAAGTTTCCTGACTTCTGATTTTTTTTTTTTTTAGCTTTAAAGTAATAAATTCACAATATTGCATTTAACATCCAGTGGGTATTTTAGGCTAATGGCACTATCCTGGGAGAGGGGTCAGGTTCACTGTTGCTGATGACTTATATCCATGCATTAATTTCCTTACTTCCTTCTCTTCTGTTCCCGTTGATTTCCCAGAGCTCAGTGCCTCCGATGACAGCTCCCTGTCTGATGGGCTACTCCTAGAGGAAGGTGAGAGGGGAGAATTGAGGGTTCCTGTCAAGACTGGGCTCCTACTGCAGGACCCTGGGGCTTTGACAGAATTTTCGAGTGAGGACTTCAACTGGGGAGTGGAAGGTTTAGCAAGCTCCTGAATGCAGGGGTGCCAGCTCAGGGTCTCACACAGGCCTGGTATTGGTTTCCATGTGCCTCTGTATGAGCTTGATTGAGGGTAGGGATGTGCTCACCATCTGTCATTCTACGAGGTGAGTCCTTTGGACAAAGTGAAGAGAGGTGAATCCCAGTAGAGCCTGTCAACCTCAGATGTCTGGCCTTCACCCTGGGGCTTTATTTCAAGTAGAACCAGTCAGAGCCCAAGAGGCCTCTGCTCCCAGCCATTGGTAGTACTGAAGAGGCCGCACGAGGAGAAGAAACCCATGTCTACAGGTGAAAAATTTACAGATGTTGAAGATATTGGGGTCGAGGTGGACCAAGAAGGTGGTGTGGTCCTGCCCAAGGGAGTGCCCAGGCCAATAAGGAACAGGGCACTCGGGCATGGCAAGAGTAAGAAACATAGGTAAACAGGAGACCAGCCTTAGCCATGGCCCTGAAGCAAAGGTTAGACAGTAGGGTAATGTGAGCCGAGGAGTCAGCCCAGGGAGGTTTGTGGAAAGAGGCAGGTGTAAAATAAGACTGTGTGTTGTGGGGCGTGAGTCCCAAAGGAAAATAAAACTATTTTGAACGTATAGGGCTGGAGCCACGGCCTGGGGCAAGACCTGGGAGGGAGCACCCGGCATGGCTGGCTTGGAGGTTCTTGTCTGGCCGGTTTCCCTGGCCTCTGTCCTTACCAGGTTTCTTTTACCCCTGCAGAGGACTCCCAAGTGCCAAAACCTCCCCCAGAGTCCCCAGCCCTGCCTTCCCGGCCTCTCCCACCGCAGAGCCTGGAGGGACTGCAACCAGCAGGTTCTGAGCCCGGGGGCCTGGAGCTGGCTCCTATCCAGAACAGCCCTTGGAAGGAGACCAGCCTCGACCACCCCTATGAGAAGCCTAGGAAGTCTTCTGAGCCCAGTAGTGAGTCCAGGTCAGCGTGAGGAGGAAAAGAGGGCGGGGAGCAGGCGGGGCAGACAAAAGAGGGGAGAGGTGGAGGAGACCCCTCCAAGCTGTGTGACAGGGGAGTGGGTCCTGGAGGCTTCCCAAGGGTGCTGGCAGTTTGAACCACTGACTCGGGGCCCTCTTTCACTGTGCTTCCATTCTTCTGCTCTTGTCAAGACCCTAAATTCCTGTCACTGACTTATCTCCACTTCCTTTGCAGCAGCCCAGCCACCACGCCACAGGACGGGCCTACTGCCTCCAGCCCCTGGCAGCTGGAGCCTGCCTCCTACACTGTGGTCCCCCTCCGCAGTGTTCCTGGCCAGAGGCAGGGCCGCATCAGTGCTCCAGCCACCCCTGAGATGCAGGGGAGGAGGGGCCAGTCGCAGTCTCTGAGGTAAGGGCTCATCCCAGAGATGTGGGGACACCCACCAACCAGAGCTACAGATGGAGGGTGGGAAGCCTCTAAGATACAGGTGGAATGCCCTGGGTGACACATGCCTAGTCCCTTTGCAACCCAACTAATGAAGCCAAAAGTAAGTCACCTAGGAAGTAAGAAGTTTTCTTTCAAAGATGCCAGTTTGGTAGAGCCCTTGCCTAGGATGCACGAGGCCCTGGGTTTGATCCCCAGAACACCCCCCACCTGCCACACACACCAAAACCAAACAAACATAAACAAAGATTCCAGGTTGGTTTGTTTGTTTTGCATAACTTGATTTAAGATTTCCACTCTTATCCTGATTTCTTGTGCTGGTAGATACTATCACAATTGTCTTATTATTGGTCCCTGACGATGGGCAATTTTTTTTTTGTTGTTTTTTTTTGTACCAGGCTTTGAACTCAGGGCCACTCACCCACTGAGTCATACCCCAGCCCTGTTTTGTATTTTATTTAGAGACAGGGTCTCACTGAGTTGCTTAGCGTCTCACTTTTGCTGAAGTTGGCTTTGAACCCACGATCCTCCTGTCTCAGCCTCCCAAGCTGCTGAGATTATAGGTGTGCGCCACTTCACCCGGTGGGCAATTCTTTCTCATTTGATGTACAGTGTATTCTCATTATTATCTTCAGAAGTTACATTCTTTAAAATCACTATAAACTCAATTAGCAAATACTAAACCATTGTCTCTAGTGGAAATTCAGGGTTAGGTTCCAGTGAACTTTTAGTCACAACATTGTTCGTCAACTGATCATATACATTTTCTCTCACCCCCCTCACATATATACATATATA